CTATTTACACATATTTTTAGTTCTTAGGAAAAAAGACTCTTAGTTAATAAAAAAGATAATCCTGAGTCAATAAGATTCTTAATTGCGTTATTGCACTTAGAACTGTTGTTTACTCAAGTGATTTCTTTCAACTTAGAGGTAAAGATTAAAACAGGCAACCCTTCATTTCTCCCCTGGAAATGCTTCACTTCAACAATAATGCCACATGCTTGCGTGTGCGTGTGCACGTGCGCACACACATACACACTCTTTACCTTCAAAATCAAAGGGTGGTATATCTGCAGAAGAGGTACACAGATTACCAGGACATAAAATTTCAGACCTGGGCGGGGGGTGGGGGGGCTCCATAGTGTAGTGGTTAGCATGTCTGCTTTACATGCAGAAGGGCCTGGGTTCGTGCCCCAGGTAAAGCCATGGACCATACCCTGGGTGCGCCAGACCCCAGGTGCACACAAGCGTGTGGAAAGAGACCCCCTGCTTTCAGAGATCCAGTTCTTAAGGGGAAACGGCAACATCTATAGGTCAGCGGTGGAAGTGTGTGTGTAGGGTAATTAAAGAGGGGGAAAAAAAAATTCCAGAACTATCATTAATTCTACCAAACCCAAGGTAAAAAATATTACCACTGATAGAATAGAAAATATATTGTGAGATGTGGAGACAGAGATATGGTAGGAAAGGAGTTTTAATCAGCAGAGATCTTGTTAAGCTCAATATTAAGAGGAAAGGACTTAGAAATTGAGCATAGGCTTGCTACATTCAAGATATAAACATACTGCCTTTAGATTACTACAACAACTTAGGTAGATGTTATTATTCATATTTTATAGATGAGGAAACTCAGAGTTTAAGTTTCTCAAGGACAGAAATGTAGTTAGAAAGAAATTTCATGCACTTTCCAGTACTGACTGCTACATAACTGCCTGGACAATTTGTGGGGAGACTGGATCATGATCAGTGTGCAACATCCTCCCCACCCCACTTTACTCTTCTTGGCAGTTGACTGAGAAAGTAAAATCAATTAGAAGAGAATTTCTATAAGTACTCAACCTCAAATCAACCAATCAACCCAACTATATTTGAATTTAAAGTCTCCCTCTCTCTTTTTTTTCTAATAGAAAATCTGTCTATGCTCCAGTTGAAGGTTAAACCTTCTACTGTGAACTGTATCCCATGTTTTCACATACTCAAGGATATCACTTCTGAAGATATTCATACTTTCCTTCCTCATCACATTTTCTCCTTAGACTAGATCAAAAGTTTTCAATGAGTGTGTACGATCAGAATCTTATTAAACTAAAAAAATAGTTTAACGAGACAATTGTAAACCAATTGCTCACAATTTTGTTTTGGTTCATTTCTGCTCAAAGCAATTGAGAGTACTATGCTTTTACCAGATCTTGTTCAGTGATTTAATTCTCGGTAATTTTAATAATAATTGCTAATATTTATAGAGTGCTTATTCTACTAGACACTGAGCTAAACACTTCACCTGCATTATTCTATTTAATCCTCACAACAATACTAAAAGGGAGGCACTATTATAATCTTTATCTTACAGATAAGAAAACTGGTATTTAGAGAAGGTAAGTAACTTGTCTGAGGTAACAGTAAATTGCACAGAGGATTTAAAACTGTCTTTAGAGTTCATATTATTAAAGTGTTATAGCATATATTATGTATTCTCAATAATAATGCAGATGAAAATTTACTATATCTTTATAATATTTATATATTTAATATCAATCAATAAATACAAAAACAAAATTAAATTGTTACAATATCCATAATAATTTTTATCTCAATATGCAACATAATTCACATTATTAAACATCTTTAAACAGAAAAAGTTTTAGCATACAAACACCTAGGAAAGAATTCTCATTTGGTCCAATAATTTTATAGCTAAAGTTTCTGGGCAAAAGATAGTTATCATTTTCTGTCCAAATTCTTAATTAAAAATAGTAATTTCAAATGGAACGTTGTCATTTTATAGTATGACAATACACTGAGAAATCAGAATGGTCATTGAATTGTATCTATTACATCCCAGGCATTATGCATATCTTTACACTTAAGAAATGGATATTAAGCAATCTTGGAGTAAACTATGGAAGAAAAACTGCTTCACATTTGTGCCAAGTCAATCAAATCTAAATTTGGAGAACACTGTATTAAGATGAGACATTTATACTGGCATTTTCTTCCAATAAAAAAGCCGGTGTGCCATCAGCTTGACATTTTACTTTATAAAAAGTGTTTTAGGCACTGATTCTCAAAGTTGGCTGAATACTGGAATCCCCTAAAACGTTGCCTATATACCATTCCTCAAAATTTGGATTTAATTGGCATAGGTAGGGCTTCAACATGATTATTTTAAAACTCTCTTGGTGATTCTAATATGCAAAATTTGTAAAATACTAGCATAGAGAATTATTCCATAATTAAAGAGGTGAGTCTGAAGAAATTTCCATGACTTGATTCCATGACTAGTCAATAATAAAATACTTATTATTTTAAGTATTTGTTAGGTGTATCTCCCTTGATTAGGAAATAAATACTTTAAGAGATTTTCTTTTATGCATCATTGTTTTTCCATATCTGAAATCATAAAAGGCTCACAGTAGTTGCTAAATAAATACCTTTTGAATGAATACAAAATTGCCTTATACTTCTTTTATATCTCTATCTTCTAGATTTATGAACAAAAGAATGCAATACATAAATGACTGAAAAAATGAATGACTGAAGAAGTTAGGATAAATGTTTAAGGCAAATCAAAGTCATAATATATATACGTATTTTAAAAACACATACATATATAAATACATCAAAAGTAGAAAAAGAATATATAAAAGAGTGCAACATTTAGCAGTTGAGTTTTCAAATAGTCTTCACATTTTCACACTTAGAATCAAAAGTAACCCTAAACAACTAATTCTTTAAGCTAATATCCATAAGCACATATGCCAATAAGTTTTATTTAAAAAAAAAAAAGAATTACAGATTAATCTCGATGAACACATCAGTTTTCAAAATTCAAGTAAATGCAATTTTTAGCACACATCATAATAGCTTTCCATGATAGCTGTATAAAAAACAAAAGATTGTTTCTCATTAAAATATCTGGTATTACCTATTATTATTTTTTCTTAGTTGGGATCCACTAGTTTCTTAGCAGTCTCACATTGATAAAAACTATTTTGGCATAACCTTATAAAAAACATTTTATTTAGAAAAAACCTAATTAATAAATAGGCTTCCTTTTTAGTAGCTGGATTCTTAGATATGGCTTAATTTACTAAAGTTCCACAAGTATTACATAATTTTTAATTCAGTTAGTATCGTATACTACGAAACTTTGGTTTTCTTAAAATTAGCATTGGTTGCTTGATTGTAGGTTTGTCACCAAAAAGTGCTGCTTCACTTTCCGTGGTTGGAAATCTTTTCTGATATATCAATGGATATTCCTTCTGAAACTTAAAAACAAAGTGAGGACTGAGAAGGTATTACCCTAGCTGAAGCCAGTGTACAATGTTTTAAAAGAATTCAATGCCTTTCTCAAAAATGTATTATAGAGATGAGTATCCTTTCAGTTTACCCTTGTTTCTCCCTCTGCTTTCTCATATACGACAGATATACTATAAGATTTCTTAGATCTCAATTAGCATTAACTTTCTAGGATTCTCTTGCTAATTCTTCCTCTGAATTCCAGGTTATCTTTCCCACTGGTAAAGCCTATACAGGTCACGAGGATATAGTATATTTAATTATTTGAGTGTCTCAGACCTGGAATTGGACTTACTAAATCATGTGGCTACTGGTTTTTGAGCTAAAAATTCTTAATGGTAATGATGGGTCACTAAAAATTATGTACCATAATCCAAATTTTATCATTGTTTTCCCAGGCTAATCTAAACTATAATCACACAAAACACCAGGAGTAAAGGAGCGTACCTATTATTATTATTGTTATTAAAATTTAAAGAGAAAGAATAAAACCAGGGTGGTAGTCATATGTAGCCTATATATCCAATATTTAAAATCTAAAATATTAAAATGTGATATTAAATTCTAAATGTTGTTAAATAATAATCAGCAACAGTATGTTAATAAATATTGACAGAATGATAATTTGTTCGTTCTCTTACCTGTTTTAGTTTTTTCCTTTTCTCCTTTAGAGGTAAACTCTTGTTTTTAATAACATTCTCTAAAAGTTCTGCAATTGCAGCTTGAGAGGTAGAAACTTTTTGTTCATCAAACTCCTGAGCACTAATCTGCATACAATATGAATACGTTGGCAAAGGAGCAATCAGTTCATCTCCAGGATTTTTGATCTATAGTAAACAAAATGATACAGTCCAAGTTTATGAATTCTGCTCATGTACCTACTTGGTAAAGTGTTCTTTTGTTGGGTTTTAGTACCTATTATTTTGCCACCAAACAGTCAACACTTTAAGAAGGGTCTAAATTCCAGCTCCATAATCAACTAGCTTTGTGTGGTCTGTAAAATGTTTCCAGATTAGACGAGACTAATCCAGATGAAGTGCTCAGCATTGACTAAAGGTAGCCATCATTACTAGTGTTAACCATGGACTACAAAACAATAACAATAAAAGTGGTATTTTAATTTATCCTAAAACATGACTGTTTTAACATAGTAATAGTTAAAGTACTCATCTACTGTTTTTGAGGTGTGGGGCATGGGCAGAGGCCTTAACATCCGTTGATGAGAAAGAAATCATAGGGGGTAGTTATAATTATAATAAGTCAGGGCAATATTAGAATGCCATATATAGTAAAAAACATGAATATATGCGCTGGGTAGCCAAAGATCGAATATAGTAGACATCTGCTGTATCTAGCTGCTCAGTATTCCTTCTCTCCTTCCTATAAGTTCTCCCTGCATTGTACCACTATTCTTCTAATCTATATAGAGTGAATCAGAGTATGGTTCTCTCCAACCTACTCACCCTCACCTAACCAAAGGATGTGCATTTAATCTAGATTGGGCCAATCAGAGTCCATATCAAGAACTTTTAAAATTGGAAGTGGAAGGATGACTTTTTTTTCCTTTGGATTACAAACAGTAAGTCTATAACTCAAGAGCTTTAATAAGCCATATTTCCCATCATGTGAAAAGCCATTTGTCAAATACAGGACCAAAATGGAAATAAGAGATGGAGGGATGGAAACAGTCCTATTGCTATTTGAGTCTCTAGATTCTGTCTATATTCCTGACTTTTGAGGTTATTTATGTGAGCTGATAAAGTGTCCCTTTTTGACTAGGCAAGTTTGAAATGAGTTTTCCACTTGCAACTGACTAATGCGGAGAATTTTAAGACTTATAATACGTACATGGCCCTTTTTTAAGTAGTCAAGATGTTTCTCTACTGCACTCTGCAAGTAAGAGGGTACTTGAAGAATTTCCTGATGATGATCCATTAAGAAAGAAACTAATCTTGCAGCAAGAAGCTCATCAAGATCCACTTCTTCAGAACAGCATAGCACACACCGAGAAAAAGTATGTATCATCTAGAAACATATTAAAAGATGTGAATTTTTAAAGCCTAAGGTTTTATATAAATTAGAATAAATCAGTAATTTCTGTGTAGTGTTATCCTGAACTATTGAGATAAAGTGATAAGCAGGTTTCGGCTTAAAAATGAGAACAATAATTTATTATATTAGAAAGGTAAGAATATCTGTTATTCTCTTTAAAGTACTTAGGTATTTTCTTAATATAATTTCAAAGTATTATAAAATAAAAAGCTTAGCCTTTTAATTTTGTCATAATTTTATCAGTAAACACCATAGGTTCAATTAATACCATTTAGATATGTTGCTTAAAGGTTGTTAGACAACAATGACTTACCATATTAAATTAATCCCACAAAAACACAAACCAGGAGAACATATAACACATAAACAGTAGTGTTACCATTTATAGCACCATTATTAGTGGTACCATTTATCTCTTGCAACTCTGGAAAATAGTTTTTAATGCTTATTCTATCAGTCTTTAAAAGCAATTAATACATGTATATTTCAATTCCATCGTAAGGAGTCTTCAAATTCTGAAATAAATTGTTTCGAAATGCATTTACTCTCATATTCATATAACCCATTAACTGTAAGACACACATACCCCATCATTTTAGATTATCAAAATTCTACTTTAAGTATTTTACACATAATATATGATGAGCATACTGAATTATTTTTTGTTATTCCTACCTGTCAGACAGGTTTTCCCATCTCCTTCCAAGGCTCAGTCCTCAGCTTTTTATTATTCTTTCTCAGCTTTGTAGAGCTAATTTACTCTCATAGCTGCAACTACCACCTCTACAAAAAATCTGCCTTCTGCCCTTACCTTTCTTCACCAGGCTCACATTTGCAACATTCTGTTAGATAAATTTCACTTAGATGTCCTATAACCTCAAACTCAAAAAGTGTAAAACCAAAATTATCTCCTTCCTACTTATGTCTCTCAAAATATGTTCCCTCACAAACTTCCTAATGCTTTTTAATGGTGCTACAGTTACTCAAGAATAATTTTCCTCTTTATATTAGGTCTATCATTGTTAAAGACCTGTCCTTAATGAGTGGAAAAATAGAGCTTAGCTCCAGATTCCTTGCTATGAAAACCTCCTAAAAATTGAAGCTGCATTGTGAGGAAGAGGTAGCTCTTAGAAGAGAGAGAGACTCACACATACTCACATACACACAATATTCAAGGGTTTATTTCCAATCTGTATCTGCATATAAATGCCTCTACCCTTGTCCTCATTTGGAACCTGAGCCGGCTTCACAGTAGTTTCTTCTAACTTCTTGCTCACAATGATATGCCATCCTAATTCAGGTAATTCATCAAATACAACTTCTCCATTACTACAATTTCTGAAACACTTTTAGTACACATATATTTTCCATTAATTATCTGCATCAGAGGTATAGTGCCCTTAAGCTTTTGACAGTGCCTACATCTTCTTTTCCTTCTCCACCAAACAGAATTGTCACAAGGCAATATAATATGGACTAACAATGAAGTGATATAGGATGAGTGAAGAAGCAAAGTCCTCAGACAAGATAAAGATATGAAAGTATAACAGACTGGGCATAAAGGATTAATACACCAACATTTTTGCTACTAGGAAAAGTTAGACTTTTAAGAGCCTTTCTAAGCCAAGAAATTAGGATTTCAAGACCACATCTTCACTCAAGTAGTACATCCTAGATGGTGTTTTTTTTTTTTTGGTTTATGAACCAAGGCTTATTCTTTTCTTTAGAAATCAACTTACCAGTGATCTTGTACCCATTGTATCATGTAGTTGAGGCATATCAACATTTTGACTCATTCGAGAAATCATGCGCATTAAAAGTTGAAGCTTTCTACGATTTGGTGGGGGAAGTAGCAAACAACATAACTGTAGTGCATCGATGGCAACCCGCTCTAAATGAGGTTGCAGCAAACCTAGAAGGTAAAGTCACCCCCCCCGAAAAAAAAAATCAATGACACTAGTTACTTTCATACAACCAGCATATGCAATTATACAAAGAAGGCAAATAATATTTTAGTACTTCATTTAACTATTCCTAGAAATTTCCACATTCCTCAAAAGCATACTAAGATTCTCATTTTCTTCATTACCTATTTGAGTATTAATATCCTACACTTATTACAAATAAAGTGAATCAGAATAAGTGAAAGTGAAGGAAAAGAAAGTGCTTTAGGTAAGTAGAATAAATCTCGGTTATGCCATGACAAGAGCCTTTTATAATAAGAAACTTTCCTTTTAGAGGGGGTGGGAAAGCGGTATCAGAGAAGAAAGGCCAGGTAAGCAAAACAGTTAGTAAACACTAAAAGTTAATATTACATGCTTTGAACGCATCAACCTTACTTTGTGTGCCAGTCAACACAGAAGAAGCTGAAGGTAAAGAATTTTCTGAAAGTTCTATTGTACTTTTGCAGAGTCTTTTATTGATTGTGGTACTAGACTCTCCGAGTTCACTTTCCATAGCTGTTTGCACACTTGTGCTGCCTTGTCCAAGATTTGGTTTCATGATAATTTCAGCCACTGGCATATTGATATAACTATTCCTTCTCGTACTACTTCTTAAAAGTAAACTCTGAGATCTACAAAGCTGTTTTGACTTGCTTTTCCCATTACATAACTCCTCTTGGTCTTGAATAGTCAAAGTAGAGGTTCTCTTAAAACCAACACAAAGTGGCTTTTGAATACTTTCCTCTGAATGAAGATTCATTATAGATTCCTGTTTGGTCTTAGACTCTAAACATTGTTTCTTATTTTGTCCTTCTATGTTCAGAACAGATTGATGGCAGACACTTGAGACCTCTTTACTTGAACTCCCTGGTAAATCTACAATTCCTTCTAAAGAATAGCACCTTGGTTTGATGTTAGAGGCTAGGACGTGCGTACTACTTAAGCCTGTTAAATTATGACAGCTTCCCCCTATTCTGTCATTAGCACTGGCTCTTCTGTTTTTTAAATTAACTAGCTGTATTTTCTTAGCACATTTTTCTTGAAATCCATGATGGCTTATCTGCAGTCTCTCAGTAGTATTTGATTCTTCGTTTTTGTCTTTACGAAGCAGACTGAGAAGAAGGCACTCAGTTGATTTGAAGGAATTCAAACTGTTTAAGTGAAGGCTTTTTGGAGACTGTGGATCATCTTGGATTTTATGTATCCCACTGGGTCTATCTGAAACTGTGATGTAGCCACAAACAACTACCAGGAAATGAAACAAAAATTAAGATGCAACTGTATGACAGTGGACAAAAATAAAACAAAAACAATAGTAAAGTTAAATAAAGCATCACTATAGTATATATTGTTAGTATAGTACAACAAATAGCAGTTGCTTAATTCAGAAGCCACTTAAACAGGACACATGCAACATTCAGGTACAAAGTGCAAGACTGACTAGAGGTTTTCCAATTTCTGATATCAGTAACTTTAAAATTTATTTCAACAACCTAATTAACTAGATTGAGTCAAATACATTAAATAAGTACCTGCTTGCAATCTACAACTATAAGAAAGCTATTAATTATAAGATAACTGTAGTATAATAAAACATATATTTGGTTTTTGTCTCTAGTACCTGGCACAGAACTCCTAAAACCTTTGGAATTTCTGGAGTGATAGAAGTCTTCTGTTATTCATAATGAGCATGTCTGAGCACAAGTGAGTTTATGCTAATGAGGTGATTTAAGGCTGGACTTGCTTAGAAGATTACAATTTTTAGCCCTACTTCACACCTCCCGGGAGGGGTTGGAGATTTAATTCAGTCACCAATGACCAATGAATTAATCAATCATGTCTATGTAAGGAAACTTCAATTAATAAGGTTAAGGGAGCTTAAGGGTTGGTGAACAGAGGGATGTGCCTGCAAGGGTGGCATTCC